TCTCTAAACCAGGTGAGTTGTACACCCGGCACCTTATGAGCTTGTGTTGGTAGAATGCCTAGATAGGGTGTGCCCTGCTTGCAGACGGGCTGGTGGGGCTGGTGGTGGATGGAGGACCAAGCGAGTCAGTAGGTTGTGGAAGAATGCCAACACACCTAGCGGACGATGCTCTTGGGGTCTAGCCCCACAGCTGGACGAGGCATGCAGCAACGCCTGTGGCCCGTGGCCTCAGTGTTTTCCTCAACGAATCAATGACTTAAATGAAGACAACCCCAGGACTTCCCTGGCGGTCCAGTGGCTAGGACTCTGTGCTTTCACTGCAGGGGACACAGGTTCGATTCCTGGTCGGGGAACTAAGACCCCACAAGATGCACTGTGCGGCCAAAAAAATACCAAAACAAATTAAGAGAACCTCCTTGCTGGCTATAGGGCGCCCCCCGGACCCTGCTCCCAATGTGCCTGCATTTGGGGTAGAAAGAGACAAACTACAGACATAAAATCACAGAGGCTGTTTCTACAGGTGGTGCTGGGCAGTCAGACCCAACATCTTGGCGGTTTTCAAGGTCAATCCAAACCCACTGGCCACAGAGGGGTCGACTTGGATCTAAATTGTTGCTTGCTTTGGTCAAAAGCTAGGAGATGATGTTCCAACGGAAGGGTTTCCTTGATGTAAAACAAGATATTGGGACCCTAGGACCAGCCATTGTACTCCTGGTTTCTACCCAAGAGACATGAAACAAGCTGTGTCCACACAAAGATTTGTACAGGAAGGTTCGTAGCAGCATTATTGCTCAGAGTGAAAAAGTGGAAAGAGCCCAAATGATCCATCAGCGCAGGAATAGATTCCTCAGTGTGTCGTTCCCATAGCAACCAAGACCCCCAATGCCAAGATCATCTACCATTGTCAGTAGGATATTCGGTTTAAACGCATTCGCTGCTTTGAATTCTCAAGTCCTCAGAAGCAAACACACAGTGAGTAGAGCCGCCAAAGAATCCCTGGACAGAAAAGGAAAAACAAAAAACGCAGAAATAAACGTCTCTCCCTTGGAATGAAAAGTCGGCCTTTCAAACCAGGTTGCTGGGAAGGTGTGTGTATTTTTCCACTATATTAGGATTTAACAAAGGACGGCCTCCAGCGTTTGAATCCTTTGGTCCCAAAGACTGGCTAATCCCACGCGCCGCAGGAAAGTTGAACGCGCTAGATTTTGGTTTTGAAGGTCCTGGTCGGCCCAAATTCGGTTTATTTCACTGAATGCATGCAGGCCTCCACCTTCCCATCGCTGTGTAAGTAAATTCTCACTGCAGGACGGGCGCGCCTTTCCCGCGTCTCCGCTGCGCTCCGGGGACGGGTCGCGGCCTGACAGCTGGAGAGGGGAGGGGGGGCCCAGGGGCGGACGGCGCGTATCCTGGAGGGTTTGGGGAACACCGCCACCCTTCCGGGGGAGGTGGGGGGGCTGTCCCAGTGCAGGAGGGGGTGCATCTTCGTTTGGGGGTGGAGGGGACACGCCGGCGCGCGGGGGGGGGGGGGGGGGGGGCGTGGCAAGAGAATATAGGAAGGAGGATGTGGTCGCGCTGGGTGGCCGCCTGGAGGAGGGAGCCTAGTGGGTGGTGCCCTAGTGAGTGTGGGAGGGGACAAGGCCGCGCCGGGGGGGCGGGGACCTGGGGGTTGGACCGGAAGTGTATGGAGAGCAGGGGAGGGGAGGGGCGGGGACCTGGGTTTGGACCGGAAGTGTGTGAAGAGCGGGGGAGGGGAGGGGCGGGGACCTGGTGGTTGGACCGGAAGTGTATGGAGAGCGGGGGGAGGGAGGGGAGGGGAGGGGAAGGGAGGGGGAGGGGCTGGGCCGCTCTCTGCCGGGGCGTGGCTCGCCAGGTCCCCTGCCGGCCTGTCCCCAAGCGCTTTCGTCCCGCGGGTGTACAGGCCAGAGAGCCGGCCTCCAGTTGCCTTTTGGTGACTCCCGTGCCCCCAGCCCCAGGATCCAGTAGGCACCGGGGCGCAGGGTCCCGCGCACCTGGCGGTGGGCGCGGCGCGTCCCGTGTGCGCCGTGGGTCCCCTGGCCGAGCGCAGCCCGGAGCGCAGGACTTGGCCGTGAGCGCTCCGTGTCCTGGGCCCGCCCACGAGGTCCGGGGTGTGGCGCCCCTTCCTCCCTAATCCGCTTAAAGCCCTGGGGCCTCTGGGGGAATTGCTCTGCTAAACAGGTTTTCCTGGGTGGCTTTCTCGGGGCGGGCACTCCCAGGAGACTGGGCCCAGGAAGGAGCTGATTAATCCTGGCCGGGGCTGGGCACGGTGAGCACCGCCCCCCCCCCCCCCCCCGGTCTTCCTCCTGCAGGCTGGCCACCAGGATGTGAATCCAGGCTCACGAGGGTCCAGGATGCCAGACTTCTACTCTATGGCCAAGGGGAGAGGCGTTTAAATGTGTTAGCCTCGTTGGCCCCTCAGCCGGCTTTCTGTGTGTGCGTCTGCGGGCCGGTGGGAGTTTGCCTGGTGGTCATTGTTTACCAGATGGGGATTGGAAATCCGTGTTAACCAAAAGCCTGGGGCGTAACGGGGTGTTGGAATTTACAGAAATGGGGCTGGAGATTCTGTTTGGAGCAGAGACCTTTGCCTTTTCATGGGTAGATTTTGTTGGCTTGTTTTTGACGGGGTGATGACTTTAGCTGGATTCATTCTTGGGCGTTGTTTATGGCTTCACTCTTTGTCCTGGGTTATTGATGATTCTACAGGCGCTTTTATCAGTGGAGGACTTCTGGGGAAATACCACACAGATTGAGGCCTGGAGGGAGGGGCAGGAAGCCAGGAGCCCAGGAGTAGCTTTGCATGGAGTTTGGCAAGGGTGGAGACCAGATTTGATCCGTTGAAGAAATTCTGCATTGGAGGCAGTCAAGATTCCCCAAAACTGTGCAGAACAGGAGCCCTGGGGACACTTGGGCCAAGTACCCAAACAAAATACAGGCTGTCCTGAGGGTTTTGGAATGGCAAAGAGGGGTGGGGGCCAGGGAGCTGCTGCCCCGAGAAGTACTATTTGGGGGAGGTTGCATAAGCAGGTAAGAAGGAACCAGGCATGGCTTTGTTGACATAAGAGAAGCCATTTTTGGCCTGAGCCATTTTGGGATCTAAGCCTGGCCACTATGCTTGCCCTTGAACAGGTCTTAGTAATGAATGATTTTTTTAAAAAATTAATTTTTATTGGAGTATAGCTGCTTTACAGTGTTGTGTTAGTTTCTGCTGTACAGCAAAGTGAATCAGTTATACGTATACATATATCCACTCTTTTTTGGATGTCCTTCCCATTTAGGTCACCAGAGAGCACTGAGTGGAGTTCCCTGTGATATACAACAGGTTCTCATTAGTTATCTATTTTATACATAGTATCAATAGTGTATATATGTCCATCCCAATCTCCCAATTCATCCCACACCCCCCTTTCCCCCTTGGTATCCATACGTTTGTTCTTTACGTCTGTGTCTCTATTTCTGCTTTGTAAATAAGTTCATCTGTATCTTTTTTCTAGATTCCACGTTTGTTTTTCTCTTTGGGACTTACTCCACGTTTGTTTTTCTCTTTGGGACTTACTTCACTTTGTATTACAGTCTCTAGGTCCATCCATGTCTCTGCAAATAGCACAATTTTGTTCTTTTTTATGGCTGAGTAATATTACATTGCATATATGAACCACATCTTCTTTATCCATTCTTCTGTTGATAGACATTTAGGTTGCTTCCATGTCTTGGCTATTGTAAATGGTGCTGCTATGAACATTGAGGGGAGGGGTACATGTCTCTTTTTGAATTATGGTTTTCTCTGGCTATATGCCCAGGAGTGGGATTGCTGGATCATATGGTAGCTCTATTTTTAGTTTCTCGAGGAACCTCCATCCTATTCTCCATAGTAGCTGCACGAACTTAACATTCCCACCAACAGTGTAGGAGTGTTCCCTTTTCTCCACACTTTCTCCAGCATTTATTGTTTGTAGATTTTTTGATGATGCCCATTCTGACCGTGAGGTTATAACCTCATTGTAGTTTTGATTTGCACTTCTCTAATGATCATTAATGATCTTAAGGGAACCAAAGAGTAAACTGTTATCAGGCAAGAGAAGGAACACTAGCAAAGATAACAAACCAGTGGTGAAGTCTCCCAGTTCTGTTTCAGTAGTGATTAGTCTGAAGCCTCAACCACCAGATCCACTGGGACCTAAAGGAGGACCTTTTCTGACCCTGTGACTTCAGTCAACTAAAGCTTAGACTCTGTGGACCTTGGCCCCAGTGCAACGCTGAATTCTCCCCTGCTCAAGCCCCTTCATGAATATGCATGTACCACGCAAGCGTTTTCCCCCGCCACTTCCATGAATATGCATGTACCCTGAGATTAAAGCTTCCCCAATTTTGCTGTTCCGGAAACACTGCTTTGGGAAAGGTCCCCTGTGTTCTCCCTATTTGCTGGAAATGATAAATCCTTCTCCTGATTTTGGCTTGGTTGTGTCTTTTGGCTGCACACCCACCAAGAGGCGACCCCAGTTTTCGGGTAACAGTCCTGGGGTCTGGCCTTGATCTTATGGGTCTGGATTCACTTTAAGGAATGCAAAGACTCTAGTGGCTTCAAAGTATCAGGGACAAGGGTGTGGATGGGTCTGGGAGGGAGGTGACAGAGCACAGCTCCTATTAAGTGGCATGTGGGATCTTCCCGGACCGGGGCGCACCGTGTCCCCCGCATTGGCAGGCGGAATCTCAACCACTGCGCCACCAGGGAAGCCCTGATTCTTTTTTTAAAATAACTTTACCTTTTAAATTGGAGTATAGTTAATTTACAATGTGTTAGTTTCAGGTGTACAGCAAAGTGAGTCAGTTATACATATACATATATCCACCCTTTTTCAGATTCTTTTCCCATATAGGTCATTGCGGAGTATTGAGTAGAGTTCCCTGTGCTCTACAGCAGGTCTTTATTAGTTATCTATTTTATATATAGTCATGTGTATATGTTGATCCCAATCTCCCAAGTTATCCCTCCACCCCCTTTGCCCGCTTGTAACAGAAATATTGTTTTCTATGTCTGTGACTCTATTTCTGTTTTGTACATAAGTTCGTTTGTACCAATTTAGTATTGTATTCCTGAGCGGTGAGAAGCTGAACCTGAATTCGGTAACACTTTCTCTTTAGAGTTGGTGAAAGGATTCAGCCCCACACAAGCAGACAGCTTGTCTTCAGGCCATTTTATTTTGACCCCAACGGAGATCTCTAGGGAGCAGGGACCTAGTTTTCTCCGGCGGGCGGCTATTATGGGTCAGCTTCCCGATCGCACCAGCAGAGGGGGAACCGACCACAGCAGGGCTGGAGCCACGGCTTCCAGATGTTGTCCGGCATGTCCAGCTGCAGTGGAACCGGGCTGAGCGTCCGGCGATGGTCCTCCACGGCCTTTGTGATTCTCTCCATCACCTGATGGAATGAGGACTCCGTGTCTGGCGTGAGGGCATGAGCCTCGGAAGGGTCTCTCGAGAGGTCAAACAGCAAGGGTGGGTCATGATGGGCTACTTTGTCCCCAAAGCATGGGCAGACCCCTCTCCCGTAGCAGGCACTGGCTCCGTCTGGGTGGAACATCGGGGTCACGTAGTGGACTTTCCACACTGCCCCTCCTGGAGGAAGGGCAAGAATTGGGGAGGGTTGGCATGGAGAAACAGGACACTTTGCTGGAGAGCTGGGTGATTCACAAGTGCCAGGGGCTGGAAGCAGCCCAAGTGTCCATCAAGTGATGGATGGATACACAGCATGGGGGCCATCCACACAGTGGAATATGCCTCAGCCATGAAAAGGAGTGAAGCTCTGACACAGGCTGCCGCGTGGATGGACCTTGAACACACGATGCTCAGTGAGAGAAGCAGACACAGAAGGACACACAGTGTGTGATCCGTTTATAGGAAACGTCCAGAACGGGCCAATCCACAGAGACAGAAAGTGGGTTCATGGTTACCAGGGGCTGGGGGAGGGGGATTGGGGAGTGAGTATTTAATGGGTTTGGAGTTTCATTTTGGAGGTGATGAAAATGTTATAGAGCTAGATGTCGGTAAGGTTTGCACCCATTGTGAATGTGCTAAATGTCACTCAATTTTTACATTCGAAAAGGGTGAATTTTATGGTTACGTGAATGTCATGGACCGAATGTTTGTGTGTCCTCCACCCCTTCAACCCCAGATTCATTGTGGAAGCCTTGAGCTCCAACCTGATGGGATTAAGAGATAGAGCCTTGGGAGGTGATTAGGGTTAGACGATGTTGTGGAGGTGGGGCCCCCGGGATGGGATTCGTGTCCTTATAAGAAGAGAAAGAGGCCAGAGCTCTCTCTCCCCAACATGAGGACACAGGGAGAAGGTGGCCGAATCTGACCCAGAAGAGAGTCCTCCCTAGAAGCAGACCATGCTGGCACCTTGATCTCATACTTCCAGCCTCTAGAACTGTGAGAAATAAGTGTGCATTATTTTAATCTCCCTGGTCTATGGTATTCTGTTATGGCAGCCCGAGCTAAGATGGTGAATGAGAGCGCTACAGAGCTGTTTACAAAAAAGAGTGAATTACTTGTCTGGTCGGCGGTTTCCTAAGTGAATCCTTGTGATGTTTTTCCCGAGCTTCTCTCTAGCTGTGAAGGTTCCACCAAGAAAAGGAGGGAATGGAGGAACGAGGGAAGGAAGGAAGGAAGGAGGGAAAGAAGGGAGGGAGAGAGTAGCACGCATCTGTAACAGACATCCTCCAGCGTCTGAGAAGATTTACTACCTAGAGGTCAGCTGGCACCAGACCTAGCTCAGCCTCAGGAAGCGATTTTGACCAAACGGAAGGAGAGACTGAGGCTGTCCTCACACCAGCACTGCCCCCGGCCGTGGGTCAGACCCAGGACTGCACAGCCTGAGCCCTGCGGCTTCCTGCTGCGTGGGGAAGGAGGCCCCCACTCTCCCTCTGGCATCCCCTGGCATCCTCGCAGGGCAGCAAGTCTGGGGAAGCCACACGTGTAACCAGAGGGCAGTGAGCGGGACTCTGGTGGCCGTGCCTCTTCCAGGACCAGGCGGGAGGGCTCCCTTGGATCCTGGTGTAGGAGGACCAGGGAGGGAGACGGGGCACGGCTGGGGCTGCTCCTGGGGCCTGGACAGGAGAGTGTGAGAATGAGGCCAGGGGTCCCCATGCAGCCAGCAAGTGTGGGCAACCAAGACCTATGCTCAGACGGGCACCCCCTTCCCTTCGTCCCCACAGCCACCAGATTTCCCTGCCCGAGCCCTGGTTCCCAGGCTGGCACCACTGTGGTTTGCTGTTTTTATGGGAACACTGGCTTCTGTTCCCTTCGAAGCATTTATGGTGACCTGTCTTTTTTTGTTTGTTTTTTGATATTTATTTATTTATTTGGCTGCGCTGGGTCTTAGCTGTGGCATGTGGGGTCTTGTCCCCTGACCAGGGATGGAACTCCGGGCCCCCTGCATTGGGAGCGCAGAGCCTTAACCAAAGGACCCCCAGGGAAGCCCTGCGACCTGTTGTTTTAACAAGTGTCAGTTTTCTCACCTGTGAACTGGGGACAGGAATTGTCATCTGCTGGGGTTTTCAGAGTAAAATGAGCTCATTGGCATCGGGCGGACACTCATTCAATGTCCGTGATTGTTTTCATTGTTCAGCAGATAAGTACAGAGAGAAGACAGACAGAGTCGTAGGGAGGGGACTCAGGCCAGAGAGCGGTAAATAGACACCAGAAATGAGAAGATTGCCAAGAGTGCCGAGTGCCTGGAAGAAAATACAAGCGGTCCAGGTGATGGAAGGCGGACGTGGAGGTGTGTGTGTGTGTGCAAGGTGCAGGGTGGGGTAATAGTGGATGCGGGACGTGAAGGTCAAGAACGGAGGATGGTCAGCCTTCCGAGCATGTTCTCGATGGCAGGGACGGGTCGTGCAAAGGCCCTGAGGCAGTAACTGCAGGTTCTAGAATCACAGGGCATGGTTCTGCTGCAGCTTGGTGACTGGGGGCTCCTAGGGTCCGAGCTCTTGCCCCAGAGAAGGGGAGAGGCTGGCTCACGTTACAGGGAGGAATCGGTATGGTGGGTGGTCCTGGAAAGGTTTTCATGGAGGGCTAAGTGGACAATGGGAGTGGGATGAAGAGTGGACCTGGGGAGGCCGGTGAGGGGGCTGTCGAAGAGACATGGCAAGTAGGAACAGGGGACTTCCCTGGCAGTCCAGTGGTTAGGGCTCCACGGTCCCAGTTCAGGGGGCGTGGGTTCGATCCCTGGTTGGGGAACTAAGAGCCCACATGGCGCGTGGCACGGCCGAAAAACAAAAAGTTAAAAGAAAAAAAAGAAAGTACACACTCCCTATCTACCTTGAAAAAAAAATTGAGATATTTGCCCAATAACTGAGAGAAGAGAGGTTCAGTAATGGGGCGGCCACGGGGTAAAGGAAAAGAGGATGAACGTTGATCCCAGGTATCGGTGCCGCTCACAGCAGTGCTTGAAGGTTGGGCCACGGAACTGAAGGAAAGTTTAAAAAACCCTTAAAAAGGGAAATCTATAATATGTGACTTAAAAAAATCAAAAGCGTAGCAATAGAAATCATCCCTAAGCATAAATGCTGGTAGACTGAACTGTGCAATTGAATGAAAGTTTTCTAAAAAATCGTAAAAGGGGAAATCTATAGTATGTAAGTTTAAAAAAGCAAAAATGTAGCAATAAAAATTATCCGTAAGCATAACTAGTTGTAGATTGTGCTAGGTAATTGAATGAAAGTTTGGTATGCAGGATCTGAGTTCCCCAACCAGGGATTGAACCCGTCCCCCTCTGCAGTGGAAGCATGGAGTCTTTACCACTGCACTTCCAGGGAAGTCCCTGAATGAAAGTGTTTCTTTTTAATCTTAAAAGAGGAAATCTATGATATGTAATTCTTAAAAACCCAAAAATGTAGCAATAAAAATCATCCCAGATGATGATACTACTGGAAAGGATGGACAGGAAAAGGAGGGAGATGTTTTAGAAATCTATTGGTAACTTCCTCAAATAAGGGGGATTCCAAAAGGTATTCTTTTATTCTTGTTTCAGACAACTGGACGTGTCCAGAGAATGGTTTTGAGGCATAAAGAAAAAAGAGTGAGTTGAATTGCAAGAGGGCTATAGGCCTTCCCAAACCCTGGAAGAAAACCAAGTCCTTAAGGCAAAGCCACAAAAAAGGGAGAAAATGTCAGGGCGAAATGCAGAATAATAGAGAGGCAAACAGAAATGAAGAAAAGAGAAGAAACTCAAATAGCTGAAAGTCTGTTACCACAGACCAAGGCAGAGGCAGAACTCAAGCAGTTAGAAAATTTAAAAATACAGTTGTTTAGTAAATCCAAGAGCTGGATTTAAAAAGATTCATAGAAACAGAAAACCTCAAGCAACTCCAGTCAGACGATGATGGAGCATCCAGCTATAAATATGGAAGCAATTAAAATACAATGAAATGACTTGGTAAGGGAGTAAAGTGCTTGGTAAAACGAATAGCTTTTCAATAAGAAGTGCAGAGACATAACATGCCTCAGTTTGGGAACACTTGATACTGTAAAGATACCACTTTACCCCCCAAAATCATTTATATGTTGAAGACAATGGATATTGATATTCCTGTGGGGTTAAAAAAAATAGTTGCAAATGATTTTACAATTCTTTTGAAAGGACTGTTGGGCCAAAACAGCCCAGAAAAGTTTGAGATGCAAAAGTTATTCACTAAACATGTTACTGCTTGTTTTACAAAGTTATCGTTAATATAACAGGTATGAGATGGTGTCATGAAGTTAAGACACATGGAAAGCAAATATAGATTAAGAGGACAGACTGGAAAGGTTAGAATCAGGTTGGAACACCTGTGTGTGTACAAGTACGTGTGTGTGATGATAAAAGTTGCACCTCACCTCATGGGGCTGGGGGACGGGAAAGCCATAGCCATAGCCTAGACCAGAGAATTCCCTTCCGATCACCACAGGATGATCGACAGTGAAAGGACGTTGCCGGCATCAGAAGAAAAATACCGCCAAGAAGGAAATAAAGGAGCTCGCGTGGACATGCAAAAGCCACGAAGAAGCAGAAAATGCGAACGAAGGCCAAGACTTGACTCCTTCAGGCAGGCTACTCACTGTTCCGTTGGTGCCACCGGGCTGCGTGCAGGAAGCTCTCGCAGTAATGCATCAGGAACTCGTGCTCCGAGTGCTGGGCTGTCCCCAGGAGCAAGGGCAGCAGGTCCCGGCCGTCAATCACCCTACAGGCAGGAGCACAGGGACTCAGGGCGGAGTGGTTGGAAGGTGGGCGTGGCCTTAACAAGCCCAGGGCAGCCCCGGGGCAGTCAGCACCCCATCCGCCTGCACACAGCGCCTTCGGCTAAAAGATGTTGGAGGGTCCAGCTTGCTCGGCTGAAGTAATGGTCCCCCCAGCCTTATTCTGAAGGCACAAATAGCTGAACAAAATGGAAACACCTGCTTGGTTCTATATGGATTGGAGCTTTAAGTCGTTATAGAACATGCGGCATTCTTCAACAAGACCTGGAATCATTTCATAAATATATATAATAAAAGAAATATATATGCATATATAGTGTATATATGCAATATACATCATTGTATAAAAATATATACATTATATACACAATATATATCATTATATACAAATAGACATATATACACTATATATGCAATATATAATATATACACAATATATGTATTATATATTCAATATATACACTATATATTATATATACTGTATATACAATATCTATACATATACACATACCACATACATATACCATAGATATGTGATAATATATACCCACCATATATACATAAAGTATATGCATACCGCATAGATACACCATACATATAGCACATATATATATATATACACCATGAATATACACAATATATATCATTTCATTTCCAAACATGTGTATTCATATACACATACATATGTTTACATATGTGTGTGTATAAATATATATAAATGTATATATAAATAAAACCAAGCAACAATATATGGCTGAATTTTATCTTCTAGCAAAATACATTTGTGATATACATGATGGGCAAATTTTTATTTTTAAAACAAATGAGATATTATAAATTAATGTTAAAAATTAGCAGCCAATTATGAGAAAAAAAATCAACCAGAGACATGATATTCAATGTAAGAGAAGAGAAAAGAGGAGAATGTAATATTCAACATCTCTGCTGATAAAGCAATGGAAATGATAACACACATATATGTATATGTGCATACACACATACTGTATGTGTCGTTTATATATATAATAAATAAATTACATGTATAAATTAAATTGATTTTAGTTCTATTATTTTAAAAACAGATACTCTCACATACAGCCAGTAGCAATTCCTAGGGAACAATTTGACAAAATGTATCAAGAGATTTAGTAAATGGCCATACACTTGGACCCAGGAATTCAACTTCCAGGGATTTTTACTAAGAAGGTAATTATGACAGGCAGTAAAATGACAAAGCCAGATTTTTTTTCAAAATGAACACGGCTAAAGTCCACCTGTAAGAGGTTAGTTGAAAGAATACTGTAAAGCCATTAAAATTTGTGTCCATGCATAAAGTGTCTAAATATATATAGATATGTACATATATATCTCTCTATATATACTGAATATTTTATACAAATATATAAAAAAATATAATATATCTAAATATATATAATATATAGGTATCATATAACTTCATTATGTATTCATCTCTATGTTGTCAAGTTTATGAAATAATTTTATTTTCTTTCTATTCCTCCCAAATTTTCTGTAATTTTTAAAGGAAGAAAAACTGGAATCGGGCTTCCCTGGTGGTGCAGTGGTTAAGAATCCACCTGCCAGTGCAGGGGCCACGGGTTCGAGCCCTGGTCCAGGAAGATCCCACATGCCGTGGAGCAACTAAGCCCACGAGCCACAACTACTGAGCCCGCGAGGCACAACTGCTGAGCCCACGTGCCTAGAGCCCGTGCTCCGCAACAAGAGAAGCCACCGCAATGAGAAGCCCGCACACCGCAATGAAGAGTAGCCCCCGCTGGCCACAACTAGAGAAAGCCTGCGTGCAGCAACGAAGACCCAACACAGCCAAAAATAAATAAATAAAATAATAAATAAATTTAAAAAATAAGAAAAACTGGGATCATGAAAAGTCCCTACCACACTACATCAAAAGGAATCTCTTGTGATGAATCGTTAGTAAATTCGTTGCTGCATTTCAGTGACAATCGTCCTTATAATCAAATGGCTCCACTTAAGACTGAGAAGAGAAGGACATTTTGTGCATAAAATGAAGCAGACGTTGGATCCCAGCAGAGAATTATGAGCGTTTTTCCAGATACTGATCTCACGGATGTTTTATGCCAAACAAAAGTGACAGTGATGTTTGACATACATGTTGGCTCTACACAAAACGCAACTACCTTCTTTGGGCTGCTCTGTACCTGTCATGGGGCACCTGGCCACCCCCCAGCTGGACCACGGTGGGGAAGACATCCATCAGGCTGGTGGGCTCGTGGATCAGACGGCCAGCGGGCAGCACCCCGGGCCACCGGAGTATCCCTGGGACCCGGATCCCACCTTCCCAGCCGCCCATGCCTTTGCCACCTGTGTTTAAACATGAACAGGAAAGAATGTGATTGAAAATCCAAAGTGGTTGCTTACCTGGGTGATTTAACCTTTCCATGTTTTTAAAATCTCTCTTTCTCTCCCTCCCTCTTTAATTACATGATGACGTTTAGTTCCTCCCTGGCAGAGCATAGATTTTGTTTTACTTATTATTCTGGGTGTTGGTTTTCCACCACACGGGGGTCAGGACATGGATATCTTTGGGGACATTATTCTGTTGACCACAACGATCATTTGGGTTCCTTTGGTTTTTGTGACTTTGCTTTGTAAACTCCCATTCCAGAGAAAGGGTTGGAAATTATTGGGAAGAGATGAAGACAGTACACATGGATCTGGGAATGTCTCACCCTTACCTTTATATATCCCATTCCAGCCACCATATTGATTGTTTCCAAACTGAGCCTCTAAGGATCCCCCGTGATCCGACGTAAAATAAACGAGGGTACTATTGGTCAAACCTTCCGTGTCCAAAGTATCAAGGATCTGCCCTGCAAAGAATAGATGCGTTTGTGCCAGTCAAAATAGAAGAAACTCTTACACCAAATTTTTGGAACGCTTCATTAAATGAGTCTTTAGTGTTAAAGCTTAATGGGAGTCAGCAGTAATATAATTGTGCTATTCTAAGCATCCTTGATCTAAGATTGACATATGTCTTTGTATATGCCCAATCCTGTTTCCGAAAAGTTTCAGGAAAGCTACAAGTGTACATGCTGCATAGGACAACGTCGTGAACCCTTACAAATGAGGCGAAAGAAGATTACAGAGAAAAATAGGGAACAGGATGGGAAGGACGCTGACAAAGGCATTCGTACATGGATGAAGAATAGTTTTCAGTGGCAGTTCTAAGTTTCTTAGAGTCACATAAAAAATATCTGTACCCCCATGTTCATAGCAGCAGTATTTACAATAGCCAATACATGGAAGCAACCCGAGTGTCCATCGATGGATGAATGAATAAAGAAGATGTGTTGTATACATTCAACGGACTATTATCCAGCCTTGAGAAGGGAGGAAATCATGCCATTTGCAGCAACATGCATGGACCCTGAGGGCATTATGCTCAGTGCAATATGTCAGACAGAGAAAGACAAATACCGTGTGATCTCACTTATATGTGGGATCCAAAAAGCCACACCTACAGAAAGAGAAAACAGATTGGTGGCTACTGCAGGTGAGGGTGAGGGGTGGGAAAAAATGGGTGAAGGTGGTTGGTTAAAAGTTACAGATTTAAAAAAACGAGTGTATTTCTTTGGTGTTTGGGTGTTGCTTTTTTATACAGTCTGACCAGGTCTGCTTTTTTTTTTTTTTTTTTTTGCGGTACGCGGGCCTCTCACTGTTGCGGTCCCTCCCGTTGCGGAGCACAGGCTCCGGACGCGCAGGCTCAGCGGCCATGGCTCACGGGCCCAGCCGCTCCACGGCATGTGGGATCTTCCCAGACCGGGGCACGAACCCGTGTCCCCTGCATCGGCAGGCGGACTCTCAACCACTGCGCCACCAGGGAAGCCCTGGTCTTCTCATTCTTTACATCCTTCCCTCCTGCAGTTTCTGGACGAGGAACCATCACTTTCTCATCTGGAAAAGGTACCTACCCACCATCCAATCCATCTCTTCTGTGTTGTCCCCGTACAGCCCATGGGGACTCCTCCCTCGGAAGTTCTCGGTAGTGATGAGAGGGGTGTGGACATGTAGAAAGGACACGAAGAGGAGGAAAGGTCCTTGCTTGTTTCTGAAAGTAGATACAATGTGATGGGAGTTATTTTTTGGTCAACCTGAGATTGAGCTCCCACAGATGCTAAATACAAATCTCCATTGTCACGTCCTTACTCAGATACATGACTGTGCAGCTCTACCCACCAGCAGCAAGTGCGTAGATCTGTTCTACGGCGCGATGTTCCTGTGTCTGAGAATCTTCAGTGTGATGACTTTCTTCCTTCTAAAGTCTTTTGAAAAGTCCACACGAATTTTTTTATTTTTTGGCCGTGCCACGGCATGTGGGATCTCAGCTTCCTGACCAGGTATCGAACCCGTGCCCCCTGCAGTGGAAGCGCAGAGTCCTAACCACTGGACCGCCAGGGAAGTCCCTCCACACCGATTTTATACGTCTTTTTCTTCCTGATTATCGTTTTCTAACTCTATGGACTTCGGATGACTGAAAGTAAAATAGAACACCAGGATGCCATCTGGTCTGACTTTTATTTTATTGTTATTTCAGTATATTTTTCGATTTCCAACTTAGCTGAAAGAATAAGTGATTTGCACATTCAGTTTTCTTTACAACTGCTCTTATGCAATGAAGTTTAGGATGTGGAATAGTCATGAAAAAACCCACTTTCAAAATGATGTATATGGGGTTATTAATCTCCAGTTGATTCTCCCCAATCTAGACAATGCCTCACCTTCCCCTGTCTTCACCTGATCTTTATGGTCTAATCTACACCCTTAAAGGACAGAAGCAAAGGTGAAGCTCTTAGACTTAATAAGGACACATCAGGTTAGTTTGTTCTAATTTGAAAGCGAAGTATTCGCTTCACACCTGACCCAGATTTGGCAATTCCATCAAGAAGTCTCTAAGAATATTCCGGAACATGATCACCAGCCAGGTAAGCTGGGGTTCCATGGAGTCACCCACTTTTCTGGAACCCCTTTGGGGAGCACGAAATGGCCTCTGTTTGGTGTAGCTTTTCACTGTGTCCCTCCTGGTCTGGCCTGGTAAGTCTCTTTGTCACTGTCATTCACATTTACATCCAGGCTGAAGTTAGCCACAGGACCACCTGGTCCTGATGGTAGAGCTTTAAAAATACTTAGAATTTATTGCAAAACCTACCGGTGATTCAGTTTCATATGTTCATTAAATATCACCCCTGTGGTAACCAGGGGTACTCAAAGAATTGGACTGGCTCTTTTTATTTTTTTAGCCATGCCACGTGGTTTGCAGACGAGGGATAGGACCCGTGCCCCCTGCAGTGCGAGCTCAGGGTCCTAACCACTGGACCCCCAGGGAATTCCCTGGTCTGGCTCTAAAATAAGAAGGAACAGCAGCAAATTTCAGCTGACTGGTCAGTTGTTTCAACGGATCCAGTTGAGTTCCAGGGAACATCATTTATGCCCCATTTTACCAAAAAAATGTCTTTCTGAGCTGGGACCGTTTCACCACACCAGTACCCATTCCAGAAGAAGCAGATTCCGAATTCATTTTCATCCTGAAGCCACCTTTGATACTCACCTTTTGACAAAGGATGAGACCTCCTTGAGTATAAGAGCCGTCGTCCTTTGAAGGGACATGGGCTGCTCGGTGATGGCGTGATTTCGCATCAGAAAGCAGTCGGCGTGAACAATCAGGGCACCCATGAAATAGGAGGTCGTGAGGCACAGTAGGGCCACAATGGCTGAGCAGATGACCAGAGTCCAGGAGCCCGCTACCAGGCGAGTGAGTTTCCCAGCGGTGAGTGTAAAGGCGGCCAACGCCATGACATGCGAGCACACGTTGAGTTTATGCTCCAAGCCTGCGCGCTTTTCAGACATTTCCCCGGGCTCACAGTCTCCCATCATGGAAAACGGCATTCCGTAGAAATGGTCAAAGCCGTGGCTGAGCGGGTGGTGGCAGTAATCATCGGAGGACTCACAGTTGAGCCCCAGATGCCATTTTCCTGAAAAGCAAGAAGGACGCACACGTGACAACGGTCCGACCATCCCTGGGGGCGTCGGTATGGTGTGCTTGCCAAGTTCTAGGCTCTCTGCTGGGTGGTGGGATGAGGTGGGGTTGTAGAGGAGGTGGGGGTAGTGTTTGCTGTTGTTTGTACCACAGCCTGGCCAGGTCACTTCAAGGGAATGAGGACCTCGTGTAGAAGCATTTCCTGTGCTGCTGGAACAAAGTACCATAACTTGGTGGCTTGAAACAACAGGAATTTATGCTCTCACAGTTGTGGAGGGCAAGTCCAAAATCAAGGCAAGTGGGCAGGGCCGTGCTCCCTCCAGAGGCTCCAGGGGAGGGTCCTTCCCGCCTCTTCCAGCTTCTGGGGGCTCCAGGCGTCCCCAGGCTCGTGGCCGCATCCCTCCCGTCTCTGCCTCAATGGCCTCACCATCTCCTCTTTGTAGTCAGATATGTGTCTGTCTCCCTCTTGAGAGGACCCTTGTCCTCGTATATAAGGACACCTGGATAACCCAGGATCATCTCCTCATGTCAAGATCCTTCACTGAATCACATCTGCAAAGACCCTTTTTCCCTAGGTAAGGTTATATTTGCAGGTTCCAGCAGTTAGGACCTGCTATCTTTGGTGACCCTTATTCAGTCGACTCCACCTGACTTTGCGACTGTCTACAGGAGAGCAATAATCAAGGCACACAGTGGTCACACGGCTCTAGAAAACTCCATCTGATGTGACCAGCGTGAGCAAAAGATTTCCTGACTTCAGAATTCTCCGTCCCTTTTGCTAATTCATTATAATCACAGTCAGGGTGGTGGTGGGTGACAGGTTTTGCAGACCCCACCTGTCGTGTTCAGTCAGTGGAAGGTGATTAGCTCCCCTGCTGTCACTGCTGGAGTGTTGATACGCTCTGTGTACCTTCTCAGCAGCCCAATGGTGTCCATCACCCAGAAAACCTCATGTGATTTCCCGAGCAATATATCCACGAATCTATTGGATTCTATATTCAAAGAGCTAAAGAGTTAGCTTTGCTCTTTCCGATCAACAAAGGAGACTGTTAGCAAAACTTATTACTATAACACGATAATGATCATGACTCCTTGGTCCCCTTTCAAGAAACTGCAGTCCCTAATTTTAATTCCTTCTACACATGACGTAAGTGGTTTGTTGACATATAGAAAGATAAGCCTGCTCTTTATGGAAGCAGACAGGAAGGTTCTAAGCTGTGTAGTCACGTTTCTAGACAGGAAATGGGGAAAAACAGCATTATGAAAATTTTTGGTAATTTGGTAAAATTAGAAAAGAAATGAGAAATCCCACTGTGTCCCAAAGATTTCATTTCCAAACTTCTTACTTGACTATAACCTCCCTATAAAAGTAATGTGCTCCAGGGAGATCAGCTCAGTGCTTTGTGATCACCTAGAGGGGTGGGATAGGGAGGGTGGGAGGGAGACACAAGAGGGAGGGGATATGGGGATATATGTATATGTAGAGCTGATTCACTTTGTTATACAGCAGAAACTAACACACCATTGTAAGGCAATTATACTCTAATAAAGATGTTAAAAAAAAAGTAATGTGCTTAATACTTAGAAAACGTCCATACCTATGAGTCCAGTGGCATAGCCTTTATCTTTCAATATTTTTGCAAAAGTTGTTTCATTTGGTGGAAGTCCTCCAGATACGCCCGTCCACTGAAGAACACGGTAACCATTACTGGACACCATACCTTTGATCAATCGTTTTCAAAGAAATGTTACAATCAGACATCGATTTGTATCATCATTATCATCACTTTAACTTAGAACATTTGGTGGAAATCTCCATTATTCAAAATTCAGTTGAAAATTTACTTCCAACGTGGGTTGGCCTCATGGGTTTTATTTTTGTCAGCAAAGGAAATGATTCATTAATCGAAAATGTTAGCGAGAAGACTTACGGTCCTGCTATGTCAAGGTTGTAAGCCGAAAGAGAAATAAATGAAAAGGAAAACAGAATTAAAAATGATTTTATGAGTTCACCAAACTCTTGATAGAATCCAGTACTTCTCAAACTGGTCTGCACATTGGAATCATGGGAGGGGTTTCCAGAATATCCTGACACCTGGTTATCATATCACCCCAGAGACTGTGATATTTGTTGGTCTGGGGTGGAATTTGGAATGGTTAAAAGGTCCCCCCAAATGATTCTAATGTGCTGAAAAGGTAGGGAACCACGGACATAATTCATCCTGACCCTGATAGATCCAGGACCTCTACCCAATCATTTAAAAATGTAGGTTCAGTATTTTTATAAAGCTCTGCAGTGTACAGTTGAGAACCAATGATTTGGAAGATGCTCTTTGCCTCCTAGACCTTTTTGATGACTGCAGCTCAGTCTGACCAGAGAGGATCCACTTGGTTCAAAGAGCGAATGAAGTTCTCAGTGATCACGCTTTGGAAATGTGGAGAATTCTGAGATTTTCCAAAACCTCAAGAATGTGTCTGGTTCAATGAAGGTGAGTGAAAACCAAATAGTTCTTGGCCAGGACAAAGAAAGTTGGGGTGTTTCAGCTTAGGTTGTCGAGGATTTATTCTTCCCTGAGCAGGTTGCAGAGAACTATATATAGGAGGGTCTCTGTGGGTCACTTTGATGGGTCAACTTGACCAGGCTACGGTCCCCAGCCATGCAAACACTAGTCCATGGTGTTTTGTGAAAGTCTTGTGTAAATTGGGTTAACATCTGCAATCAATCGACTTCAACTAAAGGAGGTGACCCCCGTGCAGGTGGGTGGCCTCATCCAGTCCGTTGGAGGTCTCCAGGACAAAAGCTGAGGTTTCCAGACACAGAAGGGATTCTGCTTCAAGACTGCAACACCAGATCCCACCTGCATCTCCAGCCTGCTGTCCTGCCCTGAGGATTCTGGACTTGCCAACCACACAGTCACACTAGCCAGTTCCTTAAAATAAATCTCTTTACAGAGTAGGAGACAGAGATGGTAGATCCTAAATAAATAGCTGATAGATTGATAGATGGTAGATGGATAGATAGATAGATAGATGATAGATAGATGATAGATAGATGATAGATGGATATATAGATAGATAGATGATAGATGAATAGATAAATGAGAGATAGATAGATGATAGATAAATGATAGACAATAGATAGGTAGATAGATAGATGATAGATAGATGGATAGATAGATGAGAGATAGAAGATAGATAGATAGATACATGATAGATAGATGACAGATAGATAGATAGATGATAGATAGATGATAGATAGATCTTGTTGGTTCTATTTCTCTGGAGAACTCTGGCTGATATAGGGTCTGAAGTCTGTCCCTACTCCCAGGAGTCAGCTTCAGGGTCAAAGGGCAGAAGGACATTATACAGACTTTCAAACTTTTAGTCTACTTTCTACCCAAATCCCCAGGGAGATAGAAGATTGGGAGAAAAAAAACCCTCCAAACCCCTCTGAAAAACAAACAAAAAAAACCCAAACCAAAAAAGCCCCAAACCCCCTAAAAACAAGCAACAAAAGAAAACAAAAAAGCCAAAAAAACAAAGAAACAAAAGAAAACAAACCAAAAATGCCTCAAAACACAAAACTAAAACCAAACCCAAAACCAACCAAACAAAAACCCCAGAACTTTATAACGAAAGATCTGCATGACTTTTAATGCAAAAGAGGATGATTTTGGAGCCCCTGAGGTGGAAGGGGAGGAATATTTTGTCGACGTATTTCCCTCTTTAAAATCATTCCGAGGTCTCAGATCTTTTTCTTGGGGCCACAGAGAGCAAAAGAAATTCCTTTTCCACGCGGCGGGCAGAGATTTGAAAACAATCTTCGGAGACCCCTATCTCTTCTTCTTCAGATTAAACATATTTGGTTACTTAAACTTTTGCACAACCAGAGTCATGATAATGCCTGTTAGGTCCCTTAATATCCCTCGGGGTAGATTATTATGTATGTTATACTAAGGGTTGAAAAGCTATGCCCCCTGGGGCAAATGCTGCCTACCACCTGATTGCATAACCCCTGCAGGTGGAGAATGGTTTTGTACGTTTTATTTAATGGTTGGGGAAAAAATAAGAAGTAGTATGTTTCATAACATATGAAACTATATGAGATTTAAATTTCTGTGTTCATAAATAAAGTTTTATCAGAACACAGCCATGCTCATTTATGTATGTAAGGTCTGTAGGTGCTTTCAAGCTACAACAGTAGAGCTGTGTAGCTGTATCACAGGCTACATGGCCCACAAAGATGAAAGTATTTAATATCTTGCCCTTTAGAGAAAGAGTTTGCCAACGCCTGCCTTATATGGTTATCCACATCACAGGAGACAATCAAATGCACCGGGTTCTACCAGTGTCGCCTCATTATCTATAGCTCTTACTGACTCCAATCTGATGGGGGACTTAGAGCGTTCTCTTCCCACTGTACTGGAGAATCCACACATGATCAGTCAAAAAGAGCATGTTCCTGCCCACTGTGTGGTTAGACGGAAGGACGGACAAACCTGATCGGAGAGGGTATCTGCCTGTTAGGAAAGCGGCTCTGCTTGGCGTGCACACAGAAGCCGCGGCGATGTGCTGGGTGAGCATCACGCCATCCGCGGCAAGGCGGTCAACGTTCGGAGTCCTACAGACGGAGACGTTAACTGCTTTATTCCTTAGCACACAAACACAGAGGCTTTTCCCATAAGCATAGTGACATCCTACTTAATAGAAAACCTGGCAGTCACCAATTAACACATGCATGCGTTCTTAGGAATGAACAAAAGACAACGGCTTTGCAGAGCTGGGGATGGACCTAGAGACTGTAATACAGAGTGAAGTAAGTCAGAAAGAGAAAAACGAATACCGTGTAATATCTTTTCTATGTGGCATCTAGAAAAATGGTACAGATGAACTTCTTTGCAAAGCAGAAATAGAGACACAGACGTTGAGAACGAACATATGCATACTGGGCGGGTGGGATGAATTAGGAGAATGGGATGGACATAGACACACTACTATATATAAAATAGGTAACTAAGGAGAACCTACTGTAGAGCACAGGGAACTCTACTCAATGCTCTGTGGTGACCTAAATGGGAAGGGAATCCGAAAAAGGGTGGCTGTGTGTATACGTATAACTGACTCACTTGGTTATACTGCAGAAACTAACACAGCATTGTAAAGCAACTATAGTCCAATAACAATTAGTAATTTTAAAAAAGGCAGTGGAAAAACTTCAGATGTCTTCTGAAACATCAAAGAAGTATCCCCTGCATTATTATCTACCAAGTTTCCACAACATACTACTGGTGCTGAGGCAGATACGACAAGAGATCCAGGATTGAGGGTCCAGAGTGACTTCTCACTTAGGACACACAGTCTTCTTTTTTTTAACTTTTTATTTTGTATTAGCGTGGAGTTGGCGGCCCATGTTGCGTTAGTTTCAGGGGCGCGGCACAGTGACTCAGCTATCCACAGACGTGTATCTATGCTGTTTCCGATTCTTTTCCCATTTAGGTCGTTACAGAGGATTGAGCAGAGTCCCCTGTGCTCTACGGAGGTCCTTGTTGGTTACGCATTTGAAGCACAGCTGTGCGGGCACGCTAACCCTAACTGGAAGATTTGACTCCACGCCACCAGCACACTGTCGGTGGTACGTGAGGGTGGGATTCAGATGCAGCTTCAGGGTAGTGCCTGTGCTACCAGAGACTGTGCTGATGGCGATCATACTTAACAGTGAAGCGATTATTCACACACAGGATGCATGTGAGCTGGCGTTCGTGCAGGTGTGGGAAGAAGGCGGGATTAAGGGCGTTCAGAGAAATGATGTGTGTACAATTCTGTTATAGTTTGAATTGCACAGACCGAGGGTCAGATGCGATATCAGTGGCCTCTGCACCGGGGTGTCAGATGAGCAATTCTCTGGTCCTTGCCTTATGGTGTCGTTGCCATAGCAGCCGACATCTCCAATGCCGAGATCGTCTGCCATCAGAAGAAGGATATTTGGACGGGAACCAGATAGACTGCGGCAAGCTGAGGGCTTCAAATCCAGAAGCACACTGACTGTCAGAGCCAGCCAGCTCCTGAAAAACAAGCTACCCAACAAGGCTTCATGCTGCTTTCCACCTTATTTACACTACTTCTGTAAGTGGGAAGTTGGCGTCACTATTTTAGGGGACTTTGATATTATCATCCCATTTCAGAAGAGTTTGAATACACCTCTTAGGCATTTGAATTTTTTCTCTCTCTTTCTTGCTTTTTTTTTTTTAAGTTAAAAACAACTCATCCTTTCATGGATGCCACCCTGGGCACACAAATAAACAGCAGGACAATGGTGTTCCAATCCCCAGCAGCGTCATGAAATAAAGATGGAAGTCTGAATCTGATGGCATTTGTGTCGCGGGCTTCCCGGAAAACCAGACACCGGCCCCACGGCAAGCCTTGATGCACAGCTGCATCGGAAAGAGTGAGGTGGAATTCTTTCTGTAGCTGCCGGGGAGTACCTCCCAGGAAAGGGTGCATGGAACATGTATATTAATCGTGAATCCTCAGGAGGGGAGTGATCAATTACTAATTTAGAAAGATCAGTTTACTATCAATGCATTCTGAGAAAGCGACATGAAGTAACACAGAGGCAGACCTAGAAGATGAACGAGCGCCCATAATCCTATCTCACCAAGAGTGTTCCAGATGTAACATGTCCTCTCTGTCCTTGTATTTCCTGTAAGAGATAAAGAGGTTGATATTAACACAGGCAGCAGGAAATGAACTAATGCAGGAAGTCAAACAGTAAGTCTGTAACGAGAAGGGAACCGGTGGATTCTCTCTGATGCTATCAATAACATCTTAACTGCTAAAAACTCATCAAGGAATGAATGTTCTTCCCTACTCAAAAAGCTTTACGAATGCTGAACACTGTCTTTAGAACGTAGAACGTGGCCTTTGTTAGCTCTAGCTTAGGTCAGAGTATGACTGGTTTTGAGGCACTCTGTCAGAACAGAAACGTATCTCCCTGTAGGTGAAAGTTCCCGAGGCGTTCTAGATCCAGGAGTGGCTGCCAGGAACCATGTTTGGTCCAGATGGATCTTAAATCCCATACATGGAGCAAGTAAGCAAAGCCACGTTTTCGCTGAAGGTTCTGGAATTCTGGGGCCTCACCGAGGTCGTGGTTCACGGCTCTCGCTTGCACAAGCTCTGGACAAAGTGGGTGTTCCGCTCCAGGGGAACGTGTTTCAGCTTGAGGAAGCTGTGAACGCCCTTGAGATAGGCCCTTGGGTGAAACGGAGCCAATGTGCAAATAACGTATCTGGGAGCAGAATATAGGAGGTAGGCTGTGGGCAGAGCTGGAGTGGCTCCGTCCTGGTTGGAATTCTGCTCCAGCCTGACGAGCTGGAAAAACCAGCTGGTTTGGGGTGTCTGCCTTTGCGTTTGAGTCCTGATGTGACTTAAAAAAAAAAAAAAAAGAATGTGGGGAATTCCCTGGTGGTCCAGTGGTTTGGACTTCACACTTTCACTGCCGGGGCCGGGGTTCAATCCCTGGTCGGGGAACTAAGGTCCTGCAAGCCTCAAGGCGTGGCCAAAATAAAAAAGAATGTAGAACATGTGTTTATCAAGAGCCGATGGTAAATATTTTGGGCTTTTCTGCCCAGATGGTCTTGTCGCTACTACTTCTCTCTGCCGTCATAGCATGGAAATGGCCACGGACAACCCAGATGACTGGCCCTTGTTGTCCTCCAATTAAACTTGATTTCCAAAAACAGGCAGAGTTTGCCAAACAGACCAGAGATTCCTGATTCCCGATATAGAAGGCAGGAGTACAAAGGAAAATGCAAAATTAAGTGATAAAATATTGATATGAAATGATCTCCAATTCATATTTAAAAAAATTTTTGATTGTGGTAAAC